AAGCATATTCCTTAGGAGATAAGGATTACAATAAATAAGGGGATGATTATCCTAATCCTATAATGATTAGGATAACTACAACATATGGATAAACACAAGGGAGGATAGTGACTGATGCTTGGCCGCCTGATATGGTACTGATGTGGTCTGGTCCATTTCCGGATATGTCCCAACCACCATCTTCATTTCTTAACATATATCCTTTTTTTTCTTTATACTCACTCAGTCATTTTTATTTCGATTCGACATTTAAAACGACTACTCACGTACGTGTTGTTCTATAAATGAATTAAATATAATTCTATGATTGTATTGATAATCATAAATTTTTTTTTTCTGTCAAGTTTGAAAATATTTACCCGAGATTTTCGATACCGTTTTAGATATTTTCTAGATCCGATTCAAATTAAATCTCGGTAGGTAAATCCTTGAAAGCACTAGAATATAAATAGTCGTGATATAGCCTTGAATAAATCCGACCCTCTCTCTTTTTTCTGTTGTTCTCTGGAAAAGTAAAAAAGCTTAAAACATGATGAAACCAAAAACATTAGAAGATACGCTCAAAAAAGCGCATCCCAATATAACACCAGAAGAGATAGCACAGCAGAAAGAGAACGTGGAAACATGCGCCTGCCTCTCTTGTGTTGGCCTATTAATCTTCATCTTATACTTAGTCTTTTCAGGTTCATCAGCATCAACCATCCGTCATCATCGCGATATCAAAATAATTTCTATGGATTTCACGGCCGAGCCTAATAACAATAAGACTAGTACACAGTACCATCTTCCTCTGGTTAGTGCTAGATGGGATTTATTAATAAGACTCCCTGGAGAACTTGTTGGTAATGATATATGTCTTCAAGGAAACCTCCAAGCTTCTTTCCTTTACAAGAACGTTACTCTTGCTACTTCCTCTATTCATAGGTTACTTACTAAGAATGATTTTCTTGTTATTTTAATTTTTTTGAAACCATTTCTAAAATATTATTATAATTTACTGTTTTTTTTTTTTTTTGATTTTTATGTACTTTTTATAGTTACGAAGAACTCGAACGAGACACGCCTCAGCTTCTTAGCGTGTCAGCGGTTGCTACTGGAGAAGATTTGAGCGGCGCGGTTGGGAAAGAGATTATGGAGGCTATCAAAGAGAGGAATGAATTGCAGTTTGGATCGCGGTTGTCTCTAACGGATTGTAGAGAGGAGACAAAGAAAGGAACGGTGAGCTATGAATGCGATGAAGCCAAGTTGCGGTTTGAGCTAGGTTCTGATCAGATTAAGGCAACTGCGTTTGGAGACCACCCTAATTGCATCATTAAAGAATAGTGTATCAAACACAACATCATCTTATATTTAAATTCCAGTTTAGCTTTCTTGTTTTCGTTTTTTTAAATGTGTAATTCTGCTTTGAGTTTTTTTTGTTGATTTCTCTGCGTTATTTAATTTCTTATTGAATTTGGTTTTTGTTCTTATATAAACGGCTTTCGTATCTCTTTTAAGCTAAAGAGATCTTTGCACACCATATCTCCAATCTCTCAGGACCAAGCATATCACGTTTGTGATTTAACTAGAGTTGCTCAGTTTAGTTTGTGCCAGATCTTCAACATAGTTATATTTTTTTCTCAGCATTCATTCTAATTCTATTTCTATGCGACATAAAAAGACTGTTCGCGGATAGAGATGGCAATTGGGTTTGTCACGCACCCATATGTCCCACCATGCAGCCCCACTGCGGTCTTCGTTTCATTTGGGTCCCCTGAAGTTATTACCAACCCCGATAACGAAGTGTATACTAAATATGAACCAAATTATATACATGACCGACTATAGGTCTGTCTCGAATATAAAAGACACTTTTGGCAACTCAAACATTATTATAACACAGTGTTTAAATTGTTTTGTTTTGTATAAAAATTATAAATTCATGCAAATTTTATCAAAATAGTCAAAAACATACCGTACTCTGAAAGAACGAGTCAAAGAATAGTATCAGTTTATAAATCAAATAGATATAAAAATAGTGCATATTGATATTTAAATATGATACAAATATATGACAACAGACACTCATTTTCAATTTGAAATCAACAATCACATTATTCTTCAATATAGAAAATCTATAATATTTCAATAATGAAAACACATTATTCTTCAATATATAAAATCTATAATATTAAATCACATATCATCCCTTAAATCTATTTAATATCACAGTTTGAAAAAAAACTATATAATACTCAATTGTTAAGATTCAAAACAGAAAAATAATAATATGAGCTTATTATCCATATGCATTCATCGAAATCAATTTTAGATCAATAAGCCTTGCACAGTACTTTCAACACCAAATTAGATCTTTACCCGCGCAACCGCGCGGATGTTATTTTCACTTTTATATACATATGTCATTTATTTATGACATTAGGAATATATATTTTTAACGTTGAACATATATTTAAATGTTTATATAAATGTATTGCTAATTTAATTTAAGATGGTCTTATGTATTGAGAGAATGAAAATGAGAATTAAATATGGTTGTTAAGATTTTATTATACAAATACAAAAGATAAGGTAACAACTTTTCTAAGGAATAGTCCATTTTAAAAAAAAATCACACATGAAGAGAAGTTGTGACTTCTCTTTTAATATAATAGATGACAACACCTCCCAATCTTCCATACTATACACGTACGTGTTGTTTTCCCTCTTTTTAAAAAAAGTTTTCTGCAAAATATTGTAATTCTGTGCAATTATTATAAAAATATTGTATTGGAAATATTTACCCAAAACTTTTCGATACCGTTTAGATATTTTCTATATCCGAAAAATAAATCTCCGTGGTCGGTACACTAGATATAAATACTAGTGATATCTATTCTATTAAAATAAAGTCATTCTTTTTATCTATAGATACAAGTTGTTATTTAAATTTGGATATTTTCTAGAGTGTTACAAATAATACAAACCATATAGTTAATTGAACCATATTACTTAAATTAAACCGGTGGTTATTTATGGGATATAGTCTTGGGCTTATTTTTGTTTTTAGAATAAATTATATGATTTGGTTTTTGGGCTTAATGTTAATGAAAAACTCCAAAAACATTGAATAAACTTTCCACCTTAATGGATCAAAAACTCAATTATTTTTCAGGCTCAAAAGGTATTTAAGATTTTTAACAAAACAAAAGTGTATATTATTAATCATTTATTTAAATTATGTACTTAAAAACATGATAATGTATTTTTTATTTTAAATAACAATCCCTTTTTTGATAAATTTCAAAGGTAACTTTTAAATAATATATTGTTTTATTTTTCTTAAATAATTTACTGATTTAAAAAAATATGTAAAGCAAAACCAAAAACTAAATCTAAAAACTAAAAGCCAAAACCAAAAATTGAAAACGCATGTTATATTTTTTGCTTTTGTTTATTTACAAAATAAACTGTTCCAATTTTTTTAAAAAGTTTTTGTCATCTTTTCAGTTTTAAATTAGATGTTCGATTATTTGGCATTTGTTTGTTGATAATATCAATTCAAACTAACTCAGCTGATCTAAAAATTTAAAACCCAAACCAAAAGCTGAAAATCAAAAAGAGAAACTTAAAAACTAAAACCCAAAAAATCAAAATCTAAAACAAAATCTAAAAATAAAAATTGAAACTAAAAAATAATGAAAAACAATCATCACCATAAATTTTGGTGAACTGATTTTATACCAAAACATTCTTTAAATTAAGACAAAAACCCAATTATATAAATTTTTAATCATAAAAAATTTATGCGCTTTTAAGCGCGGGTCAAAATCTAATATTTTTACTAAAGTGTCTTACACCCCACATTTGGACATAATAAATTTACAAATATTTTAAAGCAAAAATATTATCAGTTCAAATACATTTAAAATAAATTAATGTTCATACATTCAAATATTTAATAAATTAAACAATAAATTCTTTATAAGTACAATTTTTTATCGTAACATAGTATTTTTTATTACATAACATAAACTTGAAAACACTAATGCTTTTGAAATATTCAGTAATAAATTAAATCTTAATTTTTTACATGTGACTTTTTTAATATAGTAAAATTATTTTTATCATGTAAAATAATTTGATAATATTAATATATACATAAAACCATGTAAAATATATTTAAGGGTTTATATTTTATATTTTCCCCAAAATTATAATGTAAAATCTTTTTTTTTTGGAATAACACAACATAAATTCTTCTTATAAAATGATAGTTATCAAATAAATAAATAAAAATTAAATTTCTTGTTAGTTTATTTTTTAAATATGACTATTCGTTAAGTTATTAAAACTTTAAACATAATATAAATTATTTTTAGATAATGATAATTATCAAATTGATGAGAAAAAACTATTATTATCAAATCAATAAATTTGTTTTAGTATATGATTAATTATATATTAATTCATTTATAGTGTGCTGTCTATCAATATAAATTATTTTTTAAATAATGATAATCATCAAATCAATGAAATCTGTTTCTAATTTATGGTTAAAATATATATTAGTTCATTTTTAGTTTATGGTTAATTACATATTAATAATTCTAATTATTTATTAAAGGTTGTAATTAGTCATTAGTCAAAATTATAAGAACATGACAAATAAGTAAAATTATCTAAGCTTATGAAAAAGATGACAAACAAATTTACTTTTCATAATAATAGTTTAATTTATCTTTACTTATATATTAATTCAATTTTAGTTTATGGTTAATTAAAACTAATTTTATATATTGATAATCATCAAATAAAAAAAATTGTTTCTAATTTATGAGTAAAAGAGTTTATTATTCATGGAATAAGAGACACCAATTCTTCATTCTCTCTTCTTTTTATAACATGTTATTATCAAAAATTAGAAATTATATAATGATCACATTATATAGAGATTAATAATAATAGTTTGGGTACAAAATTTAATTTGGATTAGAGAACAAGTATATCTAGACTTTCCACTTGAGTGATACCCTAATAACCAACGATGTTTTATTCTATAATGATCACATTTTATAGAGATTAATTATAATAGCTTGGGTACAAAATTTAATTTGGATTAAAGAACAAGTATATCTAGACTTTCCATATGGACATCACCACGATCTTCATAACAATATTTAATTTATAGTTAATTATATATTAATAAGTTTTATTATTCAATAATGGTAGTAATTAATCATGAGTCAAAATCATAATAACAACAAATAAATCAATTATTTAAATTTACGGAAAAGATGACAAATCATCAAATTTACTTATTAACTAAGTAAATTTACTTATCAACTAAGTAAATTTAGTTCTTCTCAAATAATAATATATATATGATGATGAACAATCAATCCTTCTCTAATTCTTTTTGCTTTCTCTTCTGGAAAGTAAAGATAGTAAAGCTGACCGTCTCTCTCTTGTTCTCTGGAAAAGTAAAAAAAAAACCTTAAAAACATGATGAAACCAGATACATTAGAAGATACGCCCATAAAAATGCATCCTGATTTAACACCAGAAGAGATACAGGGGAGAAAAGACATAGAACCATTCGTCTACCTCTTGTTTGTTGTCTTAATCGTCTACTTATTCTCAACTTTATTATCAGGACCCGCCATCCAGCCTCATCGCGATATCAAAATAATTTCTATGGATTTCATGGCTGAGCCTAATATTAATAATAAAAGTAGCACACAACAAGGTCATTATCTCCCTCTGGTTAGTGCTAGATGGGATTTAGTGATAAGGGTCCCTGGAAAACTTGTTGGTAATGATATATGTCTTCAAGGAAACCTCCAGGCTTCTTTCCTTTACAAGAATGTCACTCTTGTTACTTCCTCTATTCATAGGTTATACTAATAATGATTTTCTTCTTGTTTGAAACCGTGTTAATATTATTAGTTTTTTTACTAACTTTCGTATCCTATGTATGGTTTGGTAGTTACAACGACCTCGAACGAGACACGCCTCAGCTTCTTAGCGTGTCAGCGGTTGCTACTGGAGAAGATTTGAGCGGCGCGGTTGGGAAAGAGATTATGGAGGCTATCAAAGAGAGGAATGAATTGCAGTTTGGATCGCGGTTGTCTCTAACGGATTGTAGAGAGGAGACAAAGAAAGGAACGGTGAGATATGAATGCGATGAAACCAAGTTGCGGTTTGAGCTAGGTTCTGATCAGATTAAGGCAACTGCGTTTGGAGACCACCCTACTTGCATCATTAAAGAATAGTATCAAGCATACATTCATATCATTTACAAACTAAATATATACTAAAATAAAATTTAATACTCTTTTAAAATTTAGACCATTAATGTATCTACGATCGGATATACACAATAGCACCAAAGATGCGTTTCTATTTTTATCCCCTATATATTAATTGAGAAACATTTGAAAAGATGTAACCTCATGTTTGTATTAATTAAAAAGTAACCTTGCTTAGTTGTCAATCAATTAGCATATCAATTAAACTGACGTGGCGGCTTTAGGTTCAATTGAAATTTGCTAGGGAAAAATAATTAGAGACGCATATAACGCATGTAACATAGTTTATATATTTATATATATCGCACGCATGTAATGGAAGAAAAGGAAAATATATGATTTGATAACGATTTGCATATATTAACTATAATAACTTCATTCCTTTTAATTTATGGAAGTGTATATGTAAAATAGAAAATACTTAAATTCAAATAATCATAACGTAATTTATAAATCATTGGTGTAAAGTTTTGTTACACAAATATGCAAATAATCATAAAATCATATGAGTAGAAACCTCATTTAATAAATATCCATATTAAAAGTGTGCTATATTACTATGTTTATATCATTTAAATTTAATTATATATCATATACAATATATAAGATTGA